AACATTATTTTTACTTTCCAAATAAGTAAATTCTAAAAGATTGTAAATATGAGTTTCATTTTTACTAATAATTAAATCAATCTCATCAATAACAATAAGGTGTTTATATTCACACGTATTGAGATGATGTCTTAATGACTGTAGATTCTTAGTTCTTTTCTCATAACACTCCATGTCATTTAAAATTTCTTTATAAATACCAATAGGACTTTTTAAAACACTACAATTAATAAAAGAAATAACTAAGTCAGTTTTAAATTCATCAATAACATTCTTAATAGTAAAAGTTTTACCAGAATCAGGAACACCAGAGATATAAATAACATTAGAAGTATCAGTATTAATAAAATTAGAGATGTTTTTATAAATCAATTTAAATTCATTTTCTCTTCCTTTGATCATAAAAAGTTAAAAATTAAAAATAGAATTTCTGATCAATTTTATTAAACTTCTTCTACAATTGCATCTTGATATTGTTGATATTCTCTACAAAGGTCTTTAATATTAGCTTCAGCCTCAGTAAATTCAGCCTCATCCATTCCTTCACCAGTGTACCAGTGTAAGAAAGCTTTTCTTCTAAACATAGAAGAGAATTGAGAACCAACACTATGAAATAATTCTTGAACAGAGGTTGAGTTACCAACAAAAGTAGCACACATCTCAACATCCTTTGGTGCAATATTACACACTGCAGTCTGTACATTATTAGGAATCCACTCAACAAAGTTATCATGACCCTTCGTTTGAACATGTACCATTTGTTCTTCAACATCCCTCATTGACATTGCACCTCTAAATACAACTGCTGCTGTTAAGTACCTACCGTTTTTAGGATTACATGCTGTTAACATGTTTCTTGAATCAAATACTCCATTTGTTATTTCACTTACCGTGTAATTTTTAAATTGTTCTGATCCTTTGGGTGTGAATGGAGCATATCCAGTTGTAAAGAAATGTAATCTAGGAAAAGGTACCATATTAACACCTAGTTTTCTTAAATCCGAATTTAACTGTCCTGGAAACCTTAAACACGTTGTTATACCACTCATTACTGAACTCACTAATGAATTTAAATTATCTAATGTTGGTGTTTTAATTTTGAGGGTGTTAAAACAAATGTCATAGAGTGAGTCATTAGAGATTATGAATGTTTGATCAGAATTCTCTACTAACTGATGTAATGATAGTGTTGCATTGTATGGTTCTACAACTGTATCACTTACTTTTGGTGAAGGTGCTACTGAAAAAGTCGCTAATATTCTATCCGAATATTCTTCTTTTATTTTACTGACTAATAAAGTTCCTAATCCTGATCCTGTACCTCCTCCTAATGAATGTGTTATTTGAAATCCTTGGATTGAATCTGTCTTCTCTACTTCTCTTCTTAATACATCTAACACTTGATCACATAACTCTGCTCCCTCTGTGTAATAACCTTTAGCCCAATTATTACCTGCTCCACTATGTCCAAATACAAAGTTATCTGGTCTAAATAAATTAGCATACTCTCCTTCTCTTACTGCGTTCATTGTTCCTGGTTCTAAATCTACCAATATAGCTCTTGGCACATATTTCCCACTTGAACTTGAATTGTAATAAACTTCTAAACATTCCTTCTGAATATCATCTGTTCCATGATACATTCCATTATGATCTATTCCATGTTCTTGTGAAATTGTATCCCAGAATTTTAATCCTATTTGATTTCCACATTGTCCTACTTGTACATGAATTATTTCCCTCATAATTTATAGTTTT